TATTAAAAGTATATGGGCCGGGGATTTAGCTCAGTGGTTCTGCCACCGCCTACCTCGCAAGTGCAAAAGCCCGAGTTTGATCCCCGGTAAGGAAGTAAACAAATAAAAGTATAAAGGCTCACCAGTGTTCCTCAAAATCTTCAGCATTAGGTTAATCAGGGAGACTAATCAGTCTAATCCCGTGTGAAGAAAATTTTAGAAAATGGCTGATTATAGCTCATAGAAACAGTCATTAAAGCAAGAAAGACAATGGAATCATCACACTCAAAAGCATCCTAAGGTGATTACTAGGATTTGTACATATTGTAATAGCTCAGACAGGATCCCATAAGACATAAAATACACTAGCATAAAATGAAGTCTGAATTTTGAGTGAACTCTGCTTAATAATACTGTATCAATATTGTCTTATTAATTGAGACAAATGAGCCTAGTTTTCTCCGTAGGAAAATTTTAAGGATACTATAAATTAGGAAAGACTTATAAAAATCTCTTTGCACTATATTTTCATTTTTAAATATTTTGGAATCTTTAAGGGTGGCAAAAAAGTCCTGTTTTATCTGAAACTTAAACAAATTTAAAAATTACCAGGTAGTAATACATTACAGAACTAGAACAGAGGAATAAGACATACTTTATGAATACCAAGAATTTTAGCCTACCGATGAAATAATGGAAGAAGACTGTTGGCAAAGGAACCCAAAAATCTGAGCCCTTGAATCCATAAGCACAGGAGTTGATGTGACATAGGAGCTGCTAACATTGAGCATCTCAGAATCACTCTTGGTCAGTTTCCTGGGTAAGCTGTGCTCCTGCCACTGGAAGGAAGTGGTTTGAAAAAGTGGAATTTTTCAGGAAAGGGCAAGTTATGGGGAAAATAATTAGAAAGCTCAGCTTAGCGATTTAGACAAATAACTGAACCAAGTATACTAAGAGCTTTTATTCAGGAGTAAAGGTGCCATTCTGAATGTTGTATGTGTGGTGCCCATGTGCTATGTTCTAGTGTCAACAAATCTACATGAGTAGCCAATAGGGTGTCATTTATCGAGCTTCCTTAAACACTGGATCCTAGGACAGAGCTCTATGGCCTCTGTAATCTGTATGAATATCCACAAAATGTCTTATTTCAGATTATTAGCAACAAAAATATGCACATTTCTTACTCTATTATGAAATGCATTGAGGTGTGTATAGGTGTTAAATTTTTGAAACTTTAAGAAATTGCTTCACCCTAGGTTTTATATTGCTGAATTTTTAAATGGAGTAGAAACAGTTTATTTCTTGCCCAAAGGCGTATATTAAGAGAGATGATATCTCAGTCCATTCAGTCTGTCTGAAGTCTATTCTTTTAGCCCTTTTCCTGCAATTCATATGTATTTCTCCAGACCTCTATCTCTTAGTATTTTTTAAGGTACCATGTTTTACTATTAATTACAACTAGGAAAAATGTGTATTTGTGTTTTTAACAGACTGATATTTATTTGTATATATAATCTCCCCTACTATATTTTTCTAATACATATTCCATAAAATGAGGGATAAATGTTGTGTTTTAATTTTTCATTAATTTATTAAGGTTGAATTTTTTATGATTGGGGCGGGAGAGAGAAAGTAGTTAAGTTTTGAAATTTTTGACCAAACAGAGATCCTAAATAAACATTGGAAAGAAAGAAGGAAGGAGGGATAGAAGAAGGAAGGAAAGAAGGGAGGGAGGGAGGGGAGGAGGAAAGAGAAAAAGACAGAAAGAAAAGAAGGCAGAGGAGGAGGAAGTGGAGAAGGTGGAGGAGGAAGGGGGGGGAAGGGAGGAAGGACATCCAGCATGACGTCAAACCCAGTGGAACAATCATCCCAGATTCTTTGTCACCTAGACTTGTACCATGGCTGGCCAGAAGGAAACTAGTTATAGTTTTCTGGAAAATAAAGCATTACAGGCAAGCCTTTCTCATTGCAAATCCTGCTTAACGATAAGGCAGTGCATGATTAGCATAAGGTTGGGGTCTAAGCTAAGAATCAAGACATTTACCTCTATCCATAATGACTTTATTCCCCATGTTTATAAAGCATGAAATTAGCTCCTGTGAATGTCTCTGTTCCCCAGGGAGCACCTCTGTGTGCATACTCCATTTAAGGGGCAGTGCTTGGAGTACATACCTCCCACTTAACACAGACTGGGTAAAAGTTGAAATAGTTTGAAGAGGTAAACGAGCTCATCTAGAAAGAGTTGCCAGAAAGGTGTGGCTTTAACAAATGACCATATTGTGGCCATTTAATTATGGTTTAATTGAGGAGGATATAAGTAGATGAGAGGAAAGGAAGAGAAAGGAAATCTGGGAGGACATGGACAGCATGGAGAATCAAAGGTAAAGCAAGGTAACAGTTTACTCAGACTCAGGTGTGTACTCCAGTGAATTCTTTAGCCAATTATATTCTTAAACACATGGATAAACCGTGTGTGTGTGTGTGTGTGTGTGTTTGAATATCTTTATAACATTGTGCTGTTTGTCTCCAAGTCTTTATCATCTAGTTCAGCTTGTCCATTTTCCTAATGTGCATATATTTAATGGTACAGTATGGCATGTCAGTATATGTCGACAATTGCAATGCTTAGATGAGGGCAATTGGAATATCCATAGCATCTTAAACACTGATAACACTGATAGTGTTGGATACTGATATGGATACTGATAATGTTGGATACATTAAAATTATATCCACTAGTCATTTTGAATTATATATTTAATTGTAATATTATATATTGAATTGTCATTAGTAACAGTGGACATAGCAACAGAAACTTAGCCCTACTGTCCTTCTTCCTTTTTTTCCCGCATTCCCTCTCCAACATGCTCATTATCTCCCCAGCCTCTGTTGCACACTCACTGTATCTTAGGTTTAAATCCTGTTTCCCTTGCCTTTTCTTAAATGTCTTCATAGCATAGCTACCTTGCAGAACTTTCCATAACTGAGTTTCCAGTTTACTCTCAAGATGAATAATCGATACCACAGCCTTGATCAAACATGGTGATACGAAATAACAGATTCAGAATCTCTAAATTCCCCAAATTATTGTTGAAATAAAAAGCACATCATTTAAAGGCCAATTGTAACTTTATATGTGTGATATTTAAGCAATATTTTATATAAATCACTTCTATAAGCTTCATAAATATTTTCTGTTTGGAAGTGAACACACATATATTAGGACAGCAATACAAAAATAGCATGAATAAAATTCAAATAATTCAGCAATTACTTCATAAAATTTCTTGTTTCATGCTGTTCTCCTGATATATTGTTTATATTCATTTGTAATTCTGAATTAAACCTGAATGTTATGTCCTTTTAAGAATATATATGAAAATGTCTTTTTGAAGTAAGTGAAGTATATGCAAAACTGTCAGCTTGAAAGAAATGAAATTGCCATTTTAGCAGCATCTGTCTCACATGCGAAGCCTAGACTTTCTTCATTATCACACATTACAAAACCTATTTTGACTACTGAGGTCCAAGTTACAGAAAGAAAACTGTCCTTCATATAATCTTGCCCCCAAATTATTGATTTTGGGTCTGTTTGACTAGTATGATTCATTTCCTCTTCTCTCTTCTAATGCCATTTTTGTTTACCCTCATCTCATACTATCAGAGTTTAGGCAACTAAAAAGTGTTTGAGTAATTTGCGTATTATTCCTGCTTTGAAAGGGACAAAAATAAAATATTCCAAGACCATTTGATAGTTTTGCAAAACACTTGTAAATTCATGGAAATCTTTAGTTCGAAAATGAGAAAAATTAGTATTCTAAGAATCTCTGAACATCTACAGCCTCCAAAGGAAGAACATGTTTTGTTTAATTCAACAGTTTTGAAGTTTTTCATATCTTTTCCTTTCTGAGATTATAGCAAGACACTTGCAAATCCTGAAGAAAACTATATCTGCCTACTATTACTGTATATTTGTCATACACTAAGTATGGCATTTTAATGTATTAATTTAGAGAGCTATTGATGGGCATATTTTTAAAACAAGTGGAAGAAAAAATATAGTGAAGCAAAATTTTCCCACATATAACTTCAGGGAACAGATAAATGCTCCAAACCCTGAGAGCTTCATAGCACAGGGCAGAGTCAGTGTCAAATAAGAATTTGTTTGGGGGGGTTCAAAGGAGGGTCCACACTTAAAATTCGAGATTAAGAGATATTGCTTTCTATTTTGCTTCATTAAATCCATGGTGATATAATTTCATATATTTCAACTAATAGTCACTCATGCACACTGTAGTTTCAAAGTGATCAAATTGTTGAATAAAATTAACTCAAGTGCTTTGCAGATGTGTGATTACTCTTCTATACTTAAAGATCCAGAATCTCCAGGTCAGGACTGAGAATATGCATTTTTCCTACATACTGTCCTGGCTGTTGTGTAAAGTCAGAGGTAGAACTTCTGGTCAGATTCTCCTCTCTCAGCCTGTTCTAAGAACAGTGTGGAGACCTTAAACTTACTTCCTGCCTGCACTAAGCTTACTTCCTGTCTGCACTAATTCTGTGACAGATTTGCGGAGCAGGTCAGTTGTACTTATCCCTGTCTGGCTTTTGAACCCTAATTTAAGGTAATAAATAAACATTAGCTAGAAAGTATGAAAAAAAAGAACATTGCTGTGAATTATAGGAAATTATCAAGAATTTTTAAAAGGTAGTTAGAACCTGACACAAACACATGAATAGGAGTATGAACGTGAATGAGGTAGACACAAAAGGAGCAACACAGTGGAAGAAAACAATATTTTGGTGTGGTCAGGACATGTAATAAGCATTCTTTCTCTTGGCCATGTGCCACAATATCTGGACCTTTCTACATGTAGGCTCAAAATTTGACTACAATGAAACACTTTCTGCAAAGTGATCTCAGTATATCTTACTCTAATGATATTTTCAATGTCTTGTCATGAATATATATGAAAACTTTGTTCAATACTTAGAAGTCAGCACATCAGGTTGTAGCACACATGAATTGTGAATCTCTGCTTCTCTTTGTGGTACATGGTAAATAGATTAGTCAGTGGCTTCGTAATTCACCTGAGCCTCAGTCTATGCTCATCATAGTTGAGAAAAAGTTATCTTTATAAAATATCACAGAGGTGAAATAAAATAATGCGTGCACTTTTTCTAGTACAAGCTGATATTTAGTAAATGTTAGAGAAGAATTAAAAATGAATTAATCTCCAAAAATATTTCAGACACTGTGCTAAGAGCAAAATATACACTTTCTGTTATATCCATTTTTTCTATTTTTAAAATAGCTATGTCCTGTACAATTTATACACCTAGGAAAAAGTAAAACAATTAATGCTTCTTTGAAAAAGTTATGTAAAATTTTTTATTTATTACAGCATAATATAGTTTTCAAAACTAGTGAGCCTGAAATTGTTATTTTGGCAATACTTTTACAAGTATCCCATCAAAAAGTTTCTGTAAGTCAAATATATTCATTAAATCACCAGTTTAAGTAATCTTAGAATGTTGATGTGCATTTTATGTATCTTAAGAGGGAGAAAAATTTCAAAATGAAAATATCTAACATGTTCATCTCTACTTGGCCATGAGTAAACATATATTGGAGCAAAATAAGGTCATGAAACTCATAATCTTCTCATAAGTGCATGATATTTCATAGAATACATTTTACAATATTCTTCATAACTCTCTTAATATAGACCAAAGGAAGAAAGTGGCATCTGCAAAAGGTACACATTTAAACATAATATTACACTATATTTAAATGTTAGGAAAACAACAAATAATAAACTGATTTAACATTTAGGAATGATTCATTCACTCAAAATTACTTAAAAAGACACAGACATTTTAAAGATAACATGAAAAGCACAGGCAAGAAACATTAAAATAAGAGTGATTCTTCATCAAATTGTAAAAAGAGTTTGCAAAGCAAAAGAATCAGCAGGGGGAAAAGGCAGCCTTTGTCATAAGAATAAAGAGGAAATTATGCATTTGAGAAGGGGTAATTTCTAAAGTATATAGTGATTTCTTATAGTCAACAGTAAAATTAAAAAGCCTAATATTTGATTTTAAAATAGGCAAAAGCCATTTCTGTAAAGAAGACACACATAATACAAATAAATATATGAAATAGTGCTCAGAAAAATGCCAGTGATATAAACAATATCAACTGTAGGGGGGATTATTTAAAAAAATAGTGGTAGAAACATGATGAAAGAAAAACCCTTGTAGCCCGATAATAGGAATGTATATGATGGTACAGACAATTATGAAAAATTGTAAGGTGTTCTCATATGATCTAGCAATCCTGCTTGTTGGTGTTTATCCAAAAGCATTGAAAATAGGATGTTGAATAGAATAGGTTATTGAAATCCCATTAACATATCAGGACCATTTATCATAGCCAAGATGTGTCAATAACCTAAAAGCAAACCAGCAGGTAAATAGATAAAATGCAACATATCCATACATTGGCATATTTTTCAACCCTAAAAAAAGAAGGGAATTATTCAATAATTATTCAGTATGTAACAGTGTGGGTGAACCTTTAGTACTTTATGTTAAATAAAACAAGGCAGGGCCAGAAGGACAAATAGAAGTTTCCTCTTGTATGAGGAATCTAAAATAGAATAATGGTTGTCAGGGGCTTGAGAGAGGGGGAAGGGAGGATTTACCATCATTCTGAACAGTTTAAGTAAGGAAGGATGGCTAAGTTGTAGAGATCCAACGTAAAACATTCTGGCTACAGATAACACTCTATTATACACTTAAAATATTTTCAGAGGGTACATCTCTGTTATGTGTTGGCACCTTCAAAAATTACTATAGTATTTAACTATGGAAAAGAACTATTACAATCATGGTATATTGGATCAAGGGTAGAAATATCTGAGGCACGTGAATAAAGAGGCATAATTAATGTTTTTGACAAAAGATTTCTGGTTTTCAAGTAAATGTTTATACTTTTAATAGTTATTTAATTGCTGAATAAAATTAGAGAAAGTGGAAATAATATTTTAAACAATATTAATTTTTCCAATTAAAAGAAGGTTTACAATCATGGTATATTGGATCAAGGGTAGAAATATCTGAGGCACGTGAATAAAGAGGCATAATTAATGTTTTTGACAAAAGATTTCTGGTTTTCAAGTAAATGTTTATACTTTTAATAGTTATTTAATTGCTGAATAAAATTAGAGAAAGTGGAAATAATATTTTAAACAATATTAATTTTTCCAATTAAAAGAAGGTGTAATGATAAGTATGTGAAGATTTAAAAGGAGATAATAACCGAATGTAAAGTATTAAATTCAAACTTTATTCAGAACTGTCCTATGACAAGCCTAGCATGGTGGCATACACCTGTAATCCCAGAACTCAGGAGGCTGAGGCAGGAGGATCACTGTGAGTTTGAGACCGGCCTGGGCTACATAGTGAGTTCCAGGTCAGTCTCAACTACATAGTGAGACCCTGTCTCAAAAAATAAATAAATAAATAAAAATAAAACAAAACAAAACAGAAAAGCTGCCCTATGACAAGAAAAGAGTGAAAAGAATGGAAATGTGGCTTGCACTTTGCTCGTAATATTTTAGGAAACAAGATGAGAAACTTTTGAAAGTTTCAAAGCAAATGTTTCCATATATTTCAATGTGACAAAAGTTCAATATATCTCCTGAAGAAAATGTAGAAGGAAGTGAGGACACAGGAAAGTATTTTCATGTACCATAGATGGTCTTCCTGAGGCAGATTTCGTTCCTCTAATTTTGCGCCTTTTGTTCAGGGACCGGAGGTATGGAGTAAAAGTGTTTGCAGAAGTTCTTAGCTATGTTTTGTGGAGACAGAGGTGACTGATGAATAAGGGAAGTAGTCTATAGACAACAAAAGATGAAGAGCTATGGAATGAAAGCTGAAAAAGCAAAGCTCCCAGGAAATAAATTATTTTGATCAAAAAAACTGTACAAGAGAAGATAGAATTGATGAGATCTGACAACAGAGGTGGAGGGGAAAAGCCTTGAGTGAGATGGAAAAAATATGATGTGTGGCTTCCTTCAATCATTCAAAGCCAGACCAAGTTACCTTCTAATTTTAGAAAGCAAAAAAAACTGCAGGGAAAATAGCACAGGATGAGTGGCCATGAACAGAACTGGAAGCCCATTAGAATTTTAGGGTCAGATATTTTTATTATGAAATATGAAAAGTGTTATTGATTATGAGTAAACACTATTTTTCAATTTTGTAAATGCAGGATGACAATGTTTGGCATAGTTGTTTTGAATTTTTATATGCATTAAAATCTCCCACTGCCTTCATGATGAAAACTTAAAGGGCTGGGGATTTAGCTCAGCGGTTCTGCTGCCTGCCTTGCAAGCGTCAGGACCCGAGTTCAATCCCCGGTACCAAAAAAAAAGAAAAAGAAAAAGAAAACTTAACACCACGTAAAATTATTAAACTTGATTTCTTCACATACTTGCACAGAGTCATCATGGAATTGATATTTCTAATGTTGCCAAGAAACACATTTTTATAATTTCATCTTTGTCTTATGCTGTTCTTAACAGAAAACTAAAAAGACCATTACTACTATTACTTCTACTATACAAATTTTATCCTCAAATAATTTATATTTTCTACTTAAAAGGAAATTATGTCATTTATGATTAAGTGGAATATCCAAATGGGTTTGGAACTTTTATGTGATTTTGGTGCATATTCTTCCTTCAAAGTGGTTTAATTCAGTATGAGACAGTTTATGCCTAAAATAGAAAACAAAATATGCATATTAAAATCTTATCAAGATCATGTTTGGTTGTGATTTTTTTAACTATTGAAACTGTGCACTACTTATTTAATAAGATTAACAGTGTGTGATTCTTCTCTGCCTACCAAATATTGTCCTTAGTGTGACATTTTATTGGTTCTTGCTAATATTTTATTAACCTATGTTTTGTATATGAATTAAGTGTAGTGATCTAATTAGTTTTATTGAAATGAAACAAAATGAAAATGTAGTTTTCATAAAAGTCATACAATTATGTCAAGATGGATTGGTTATCAGAATGAAAAAAATATATTTTCTATGTGATTTTTATAGGAAATCAATTTCATTGGGTAAGAAGAACTGGAGCATCTTAGTGAATGAGAATTAGATCTGTTATTTGTCCAAGTAAAAAAGAAGCATAGAAGCAAGTTCCCTCCAATAAAACAGTTTCATCCCTACATGTTTCTTCTCCTGGGAATTCCAGGGCTTGAAGTTGTGCATATGTGGATTGGTTTTCCATTTTGTGTTGTGTATTTGACTGCTCTTCTGGGAAATGTTACCATTATTTTTGTGATTCAGACTGAACACAGACTCCATCAGCCATGTTCTACTTCCTGGCCATTTTGTCATCCACTGACCTGGGTCTGTCCACATCCACCACCCCCAAGATGCTTGGCATCTTCTGGTTCAACCTGATGGAAATCTCCTTTGAAGGATGCCTCATCCAGATGTTCTTCATCTACCTGTGCACTGGCATGGAATAGACTGTGCTTGTGGCCATGGCCTATGATCTCTTTGTGGCCATTTGTAACCCTCTTCACTACACATTGGTCCTCACAAACAAGGTGGTGTCAGCCATAGCTTTCATCATTCTCCTGAGACCCTTGGCCATTGCAATTCCCTTTGTGGTGCTCATGCTAAAACTGTCCTTCTGTGGTCATCAACTCACTCCCCACACATACTGTGAGCACATGGGTATTGCCCGCCTGCCCTGTGCTAGCATCAAGGGCAATATCGTCTATGGCTTATGCGCCATCTCTAACCTCCTGTTTGATATCTTAGCAATCTTCCTCTCCTACATCCAGATCCCTCTTGCTGTCTTTCACCTACCATCTAGAGACGCCCGGTTAAAAGCACTCAGCACCTGTGGCTCCCATGTCTGTGTCACGCTGTCGTTCTATACTCCAGCATTTTTCTCCTTTATGACCCACCGGTTTGGCCATAATGTTCCTAGATACATTCATATACTTCTTGCCAACTTTTACGTTGTCATCCCACCTGCTCTCAACCCTGTTATTTATGGTGTCAGAACTAAGCAGATCAGAGAAAGGGTAATTAGAATGTTCAGGAATAAATTACAAAAGTTGAGCTTCAGAGATCAGGAAACTAACATAAAACAAAGTGGACCTTAGCCTTTAACATAAAAATTGCAACATTATGATATCTGAGGAAGATGGATCTTCTGTGTGGATTTGTAAAATCATTAATTTATAACTGTGAGAAATTTTAAACCAAATAAACAATACAAGTGCAATATAAGGATAATTGCATCCACAACACACAGATAGATGATCATTAAGATGCAGTCTGCGATCACCCGGCGGCGTGCGCGCGAGCTCCCGGCCTGCGCAGGAGCTCCCGGCCTGCGTAAGTGGACCTTAGTTTAACATAAAAATTGCAACATTATGATATCTGAGGAAGATGGATCTTCTGTGTGGATTTGTAAAATCATTAATTTATAACTGTGAGAAATTTTAAACCAAATAAACAATACAAGTGCAATATAAGGATATAAT